TGTAATGTCTGAGTGAATCAAAAGTTTTGGCTAATATTGTTGGTGTTGGATTCACTCGTTTCGTGAGTTGTTCGAATAGTTCCACCACAGGCGCCTCGATGAATCCCAAAGTTTTTGGGAAGATAACTAAGCCGTAGAGACCTAGTGCAAAAAGGTTTATCACCTTCCATTCATCTGGGTGATTCTTCATTAGTTGCTTGATTTGGGTCCAAGAAATTTCCTCTCCTTTACCCTTGTGCTGAATACGGTCAGTTATCCACTTTTTATCTACCCCTACAACATTTGACAACCCATTCTTGAAAAGTTGACCTTTGATATGCTTGGTGTAGACCTGGTTAATTCTGATTCCTTCACAATGTAGTAAAGTCGTATACTCTTCAATTGTGGGTACCATGTCTTCTTGATTAAATGTAAAATAGTTATAACCCAGATTCCAGAATTGTACTAAGGCTCAGATTAGGGGCTCATCTATCTTGACATAGAGTAGAAGTGAAATATCACCATATCGCTGGTAGAATTTTCGTTTCTGGTCGCTTTTCCAACAGTCCAAAATGCTCTGCAATTCTTGAACATCATTCTGCTTAAGGCTGACAGAAGCATAACCAACCAGATCTGACACATAGTTGCCTTGCAGACTGTCTCCCTTTTTATTCTGAGTATTTTCTGACCATAGCCGGATCTCTGCTTTTTTCACCTCTTGCATTACAACCCCTTTGTCCATTAATGCAAATTATTTGTGTTTAACGAACACTTTTTGTGAATCAGTCACCTCTATTAGATGATGCAAATGATAAAATAAAAGAAAACAAAAAAATGAAAGGGAAACAAGTTAGTAAGATAAAAAATAATAATCAAAATAATAATGAAAGTAAAAATTCCTACCCTACATGATATCTACCCCCACATGCTTTTATTCTTACCTATACATGATTTCTATCTCGTATATTAATATTTGAGCACACCCTAACCACATATTTTTCTAGTTCACATGCTTTGAACAGAAAATAAAACAGGAAATAACTCAAGCATCCTAGGTTTTTGAAATGGAGTTTCGGGGTGGGCTCTAATTCCTTGCAAATCTCCCAGTTTATGTTCTAAAAAAAAGTTACCCAAGTTCTCTTTGCTGGTGCCCCTTGGGCTTGCCAAACCCTCAGTCCTAAGCCCATTACAAGCTTATGTGTACTGAGTTAAACTCGAGATGACACATTCCCTTATGCCTGTACGGAGAATAAATCACACGAAGACATAAGGTATATGAATCCCGAAGGTTACTTGTTAGGCCTATACAAAGAATAAATTCCCACGAAGGCATCACTTTCACCTCCACTTACTAAAGGGTTTGGAGCTCGGGTATAGAGCTTGAGATGAATTTTTGAAAAGCTGAAATCATTAGAAAACATCAGCACATCTATTTATTTGAAAAATAATAATCAAAGATGAAGAATAAAGGTCGACAAGTTAAATTAAAATTTAAACTTACAATTTTGACTTAAAAAGACAACCGAAAATTAATTTTAGCCTGACTCACTTACCTGTCCCCAACGGAGTCGCCTAGCTGTAGTAACACCTTCCCTCGGGTGGGCCCAGAATCGGGTTCCGACTTAATTTCGATGTGATGGAGCCACCTCCGATCATTTAAAATTAGGTTGATTGGATATTATTTTACTTGATCTGTGTTTTTACCATAATTGAATCAGATTCGGGAGTCGATTACAGTCAAGGAAGGATTAGCACCCCGTACTGCCCTTTTGGTACTAATTTAGTTTCTTGGTTATCTTAATTGTGAAAATTAAAAATTAAATTAAAAATTGAAATTTGATTCGAGTTACTTACCTTTGTTAAATTAAAATTGTACTGAAAAGATCACAAATGAAGTAAAAAAACAAAAAAAAAACAAAGAGTTAGTATTAAGATCGAAATAAAGTAAATAAAAATAAGTAAATAAAAGGAATAAAATAAAATTCAAATTAAAGAATTAAAATGGAAAAAATTAAAAGTTAAGGGTTGAATTGATGTTAATTGAAAGCTGCAAAAGAAAAATGAAAGTTAATAGGCCAATTTGCAAAATATAAGAAATACAAACATGAACTAAATTAAATTAATTCAAAATTCGAGGGTAAATTTACAATAGGTGACTAAAATGAACTACTCATCAAACCTTTAGGGACTACGGAAATAATTTAACTATTTCATAATTACATAATGACCCTCCCTATAAATACTCCCCAAATAAAAAAAAATAACATTTCACTCATTTCTCCCAAAAACAAACCCTCTCATTTCTCTCAAAACTCTCTCTACACTTTCCCCCAAATTGACCTATGGTCGATCATCACTCCGGCGAAGCCCCGCCGCGCTGACTTTCGCTCCGACTGCCATCACCAGTGGGCAAAAACCTAAGAACTTACCCAAAATATTCTTCACACTACCCTAACGCCAAAACTGAACCTCAAATTCACTAAAAGACCCCTATAAGGCGTAGATCTAAGGTGAAAGATTCGATTTTTTACCTATTTCCGTCGAAGCTCCTTTGTTCTTGATGATCGTTCTTCCCCCGGGCCTATTCCGATGCTTTCCTTGTTTTTTGTTACACTATTTTCGTGTATTTTTGCTCGATTGTTTATGCCAAGTACTGGATATTGCGTCGTTTTTTTTTTGTTGCTTCGATGCTCTTTTCGGTGATGGTTTCTGTGTTTTTTTGTTGGTTCTCCTGGTATTTTTTTGCTATTGTTTGCTGGGTTTTTTCGTGGCTATCGTTGTGTCCTTGACAATTGGGTGGGGGGTATTTATACCCCACCGCCGGTGATTGTTGTTTCCGCTCCCAATGACCTGTTTCCCTCGTTCCTATTATTTTTGGGTCGTTCGATCGTTCGTGTGACCGACCATCCCGGGATGTTTAAGTTCCGGGTCGTTTGACCAGGAATCTCGGCCGGTTGGTAACCACGTTGGCGTGTGCCCTTCACGCACTGCTCCTGATGCTTCCTGGCCTTTGGATCAAAGGGCCAGATCCAACGGCTCTCGGTCTTGTGGCACTGGTGCTAAACACGAAACCCTAAACCCTAGCTTCTTCTGGGTCAGGCAGCTGGGCTCAGGTCACAGTTCAAATCAGGCCTGCTTTGGTTGGGCCTTACTGGGCTAGCTGGGTCAGGCACTCGATTGGGCTCCCTTACCCCCTTGCTAGACCTGATTTCACTTTGAACCTAAAAATGAAATAAAAAATAAAAAATAAAAAATAAAATGAAATAAATAAATAAATAAAATGACCAATAATATATTTTCAAAAATATGTTTTCAAAAATCATTTTTTTAAAATATATATTATACATTTTCAAAAATATTTTTAAAAACCATATATTATACGTTTTCAAAAGTATTTTTTTAAAAACTATATATTATATGTTTTCAAAAATATTTTGAAAAATTATATATTATACGTTTTCAAAAATATTTTTAAAAACTGTATATTATTTTCTTTCAAAAGTATTTAAAAAAAAACTATATATTATACATTTTAAAAAATATATATATATATATTTTAAAAATCATGTATTATACGTTTTCAAAAATATTTTTTAAAAACTGTATGTTATACGCTTTCAAAAATATTTTTAAAAAAAAACCATATATTAAACGTTTTCAAAAATATTTTTTAAAATCTATATATTATACGTTTTCAAAAAATATTTTTTAAAAACTATATATTATACGTTTTAAAACTATATTTTTTTAAAACTATATATTATATTTTTTTAAAAATATTTTTAAAGACTATATACTGTACGTTTTCAAAAACCGTTTTTTAAAAAAATTATATATTATACGTCTTTAAAACCGTTTTTAAAAACTATATATTATATATTTTCAAATATACGACTTCAAAGCATATACTATATACTTTTAAAAATTACGTTTGAAATCATTATTATTATTATTATTATTATATATACTATATAATAATAATAAAAAATAGAACCCTTAATGTCTCGGACGAAAATAGGTGTCTACACATATTTTTAAGATAATCTCTTTGTTATATTATATATATATATATATATATATGACCCTTTGTTTTCAACCTTGAATCTCTCGAACTTTTCTATGAACTGCCTTTCCTTCTATTTGTGATATGAACTGCCTCTCATCATTCTCACATACTCTTTTCTTTCATTCAATTTCGGTTGTCATTCTTCATTGGTTTTATGTCTTCTCTTCCATCTTGGGTTGATCTGCAAAAAATGTCCAACGTTACGCCGATGACGAGTTTGATGTCTGAGGCCGACGAGGCATGAATGTAGACGAAAAGAAGAGAAAACGGATGATATCGAACCGAGTTTCGGCTCGACGGTCACAAATGAAGAAGCAAAAGCTCTTGGAACATTCGGTAACCAAAATTGCATCATTGAAGATTGAAATTCATGAAAACAGTAACAGATACAAAGTTTTAATGCAAAAGACTTGCTTTGGAGTCTGAAAACAAGGCTTTGAAGGTTCAACAAATGGAATTGGATCAATATTTAAGGAAGCTGGAAATGATGCAAACTCAGATGGAATTATTGCAATTGAATTTTATGAATCAGACAGGAAGAAGCTTTTGGGATCAAATTGTTGACACTAATGAACCCACAATAGTTCAGTCTTGGCAATGCCATGGTTCAAATCAGCCTGCCATGCTTCCGACCTCCACTGAAATGTTCAACTGTTAATGTACAGACGATCACTATATTCATCGGCTTCCGGGAATGTTTGTTTTTCATCTTGTAAAAAAACATGGAATAAATATTTGTTTAGTATTGTTTTTTTTATAGAAGTGTGGGCCTCGTTAAAAACCCATTCATACCAGGAGACCAGATAACGGAAGAAGGAAAAAGTGCCCCTAAATTTTATTAAATCAGAAACAGTTTACAAAGTGCCCAATATCATTGAAACTACACCAAAAGCTCTACTCAAAGGAAACATAATACCACCCGATTACAATCATAACATTGACTCATTCACTTACCCTATCCCTTTTTTTCCAAGGCATCAGCCTCCCTGTTACACTCTCGAGGGATGTGGCGAATAGTAACACAAAAACAAGACAAAACCGTATCAATACTTTTAACTAGCTCGGAGAAGCAAGCAGGGCAGCTCCCTTGATTAAGAACCCACTCCACGGCCACCTTACAGTCGCTTTCCATTATGACTCGCAACGGGGAGTTGTTTCCCGCTTGAAGGAAGGCTTCTAACCCAACCTTTATCGCAAGCAGCTCCGCGAGGACGGGAGTCCCGAATCCAATACTTTTTGAGAACGTCCCCAAACATACTCCTCTGTCATTCCTGCGTAACCCTCCTATTCCACCTCTCAGCCCCGAAACTGGCATGGCACCATCCACGTTAATCTTTATATACCCCACAGGAGGGGCTTTCCAGACCACTAGTGGAGACCTTAGTTTATTATTCGAATATTTATCAACCACAGGTGGAGACAACACTATATCCTCCAAAGATATGGCAATCTCTTGGTTTTTCGCTTTGAACCAAGAAGCAAGGTGAAATCTAGCAACAAAGAATAATTGCGGCAAATCCATTCTTTTGTTTTGAAACACCAATTCATTTCTGTACAACCAAATGGACCACAATATAGCAGCAGGGATTAGATGCCAAATGGAGTTTACCGGAAAGGAAAAACTAACCTCATGCCATGCAATGATAACGGCGGTCGGGTTATCGTGAAGCACCAGTGAGAGGTTCCAGAAGCTTACAAACTTCATCCATAATGCCCATGAATTTCTGCAAGAGAACAAAAGGTGGTTTACGGTTTCCACTTCACTAACACAAAGAGGGCATAGCTCATTTAACATTGTAGTGATCCCCCTTTTCAATAATTCTGATTTCACTGATATCCTTCCTTGGAATTGCCAACCATAAGAAAACCTCCACCTTAGGAGGGGCAGAACCTAACCAAACAGTGCTGTCCCAATCGAAGTCTCCCACCTTGGTCTTGAGGAGGGCCTTTTTAAAGGAACTTGTCGAGTAAATCCCATCTCCAGAACCTTTCCAGCATACCCAGTCCTTATTGGATTTCCCAGATGTTAGAGTTCAAACTTAATTTTACATTGTGGATATCGGCAAATTATGCATGTTTATGAATTACCCAGTTGGTAATTGAAGAAAGAGGACAGCAAATAAGGGAATTTAATCATGGCAATGCAATGTATATAATCACATGGAAGATTAAACGGAAGCAACTTGAACCATAAATTAAAGGAGGCAACAACTATGTGGTAAAGGAAGCAAACACATATAAACTGCAAGAAACATGTGGCAGCAACAAGTAAGATACTTGTTGGAGAAGAACTGAGGTGGAAAAACAAGATAATATTGAAAGCATAGAATTTTACTACGGCAAGGAACAATGGAGACGGTTACTAATGCTTATATATAGGCTTTGTTGATGTATGTATTGTATGAAATATGAGAGTGAAAGAAAAAAAATACGAGTGATAACTTAGCAAAGCTTTTGATAGCAGGGTTGTGTTTGTAAACTAGCCGCAGCTAGTGTTTGTATCATATTTGTATTTTAGTTCGAATCAATAATAGTGTGGGTTATAAATTACCGAGAGTCCACCTATGCTTTCAACAAGTGGTATCTAGAGCTTGGTTCGAGTTTAACATGGTGGAGAAGATGACCAACATGATTCAACCACAAATCCTGAGATAGACAAAGACGAAATATGGAAAATAGAGTATTCAAATGAAAGCCCTACTTGGTTCCCAATTTTTTGGGACATCGTCGAGGAAGGTTACGTCAAACCTGAAAATGTAACAGCAAAAACAACCTTGACCAATGAAGAAAAGAAGGCACTGAAGGAATCCCGCAAGAAAGACAAGAGGGCGTTGTTTTTTATTTTTCAAGGAGTAGATGAATCTACTTTTAAAAAAATTTCATTGCGAAAACTATAAAACAAGCATGGGAGATTTTGTAAAAATCTCTCCAAGGTGCCGAAAAGAAAAAAAAAGGTACGTTTACAATCTCTTAGAGTTGAGTTTGAAATGTTAAAAATGAAAAATACGGAAAACATCGATGCTTATGTTAGCCATATGAAAGCTGTAGTAAATGAAATAAAGAAGAATGGTGAATCACTCGATGAAGTCAGAGTGATGGAAAAAATATTATGGTCGTTGAAACGAAAATTTGATTATGTGGTCATGGCAATTGAAGAATCAAAAGATTTGTCTCAAATTTCGATTGATGAGCTTGTGGGTTCACTTCAAGCCCATGAGAAGAAAATGAAGCAAAATGAAGATCTTGAAAATTTAGAGCAAACTTTGCAAAGCAAGATGAATGTCAATGAAGGTGAAGCTAGTAGAAGCTATATACGAGGTCGAGGGAATCATGGTAGTTACCGTTGAAGAAAGAGAGGTGGATGAGGAGCACGAGGACGTGGTAGTCGATCATATGACACCACTCAAACTAGTGAAAATTACCAAACATTAGGTTGTGGACGAGGATTTAGAGGCCGAGGCCGAGGTAGAGGCATATATCAACAAGGAAATAATCACAAGTACAATGTTATAATTGCAAAAAGTATGGTCACTATAGTTATGAGTGTAGATCAACTCCTAAACAAGAAGAAAGAAATAACGTAGCAGCAGCTGAAGAAGAAGAAAATTGAAAAATCTCATGTATTCCTCACTTATAAAGGAAATGAAGAATTCAAGAAAAATATTTGATATCTCAATAATTGTGTTAGGAACCACATGTGTGGTCGAAAGGAGCTGTTCGTGAAATTAGATGAAAAATCCATGGTTGAGAAACTTTTGGTGACGACTCTCACGCAAAAGTCAAAGGAAAAGGAGAAGTCGTGATTACTCAGAAAAATGGTGAAAACAAGTACATCTCATATCTTTATTAGTACCTGCTTTGAAAAGCAATATCATCAGTCTTGGTAACCTCTTGCAAAAAGTGATACGAAGTGAAGATGAATAATCACTCTCTTGCCATAAAAAATAAAGAAGGAGAATTGATTGCCTAGGTTGATATGACTCAGAATCTCCTCTTTATCATGAATATCGAGTCAGGTGAAGTTAGATGCATGAAGGCTACAATTAAAGATGATTTGTGGCTGTGGCACCTAAGATATGTACATCTTAGTTTTTCGGGCCTGAAACTATTATAAAAAACAAGTATAGTGAAAGGAATGCTAAATATCAACCCTCCAAATCAATTATGTGAGGATTTCATTAAAGGAAAGCAACACAAACAAAGCTTTGAAGTTCGTAGATCATGACGTACCCGAAGGCCATTGGAGATAGTACATACAAATATAGTTGGTCCTTTTGACATATCATCACTTGGAGGTAACATGTACTATCTAACTTTTATTGATGATTTTAGTAGAAAATGTTGGATTTATATCTTGAAAGAAAAATTAAAAGAATTTAAAGAAATGGCAGAAAAGCAAAGCGGACAATATTTGAAGATACTTAGATCAGATAGAGGAGGCGAGTATACATCAAATTTATTTGAAGACTTCTGTAAAGAGCATGGAATTATCCATCAACTAATAGTCAGATACACACCACAACAAAATGGAGTTGCAGAAAGGAAGAATCGAACAATCATAGACATGGCAAGAAGCATGATAAAAGGTAAACATCTACTAAGAAATTTTTGGGCAAAAGTAGTACAATGTGCAGTTTACCTGCTAAACCGATGTCAAACAAAAAGTGTAAAATATATGACATCAAATGAAGCATGAAGCGGTCAAAAACAAGGAGTTGGACACCTCAAGATTCTTGGGTGCATTGCATACACCCATATTCCAGAACATACTAGAAAGAAGCTTGACGATAAAGGAGAAAAATGTATTTTTATATGTTATGATGAAAGAAGAAAAGCGTACAAACTATATAATCCTCTTACCAATAAGGTAATAATTTCAAGAGATGTCGAGTTTGATGAAGGAGAATACTAGAGATGGAGCAAAGAAGAAAAGAAAGTCAAAGGACTATTTTTAATGAATATAAAGATAATGATGATCTTATCAATTAAGAAGAACAAAATGATGATCAAGGTCCTCGACAAATACACCATCATCATCAAGTAGCAAAAGTGGTGGTAGCAACATAATAGAAAATCCTGAAGTACCTCCCATGGAAGTTCAAAGATCTACAAGAGAGAGAAGGATATCGGAAATGTATAATGATTATGAATTACAAAATGTTTCACTTTTCTTCTTACTTGTAAATAGTGATCCAATAACAAACGAAGAAGCGATTAAAGATGACAAATGGAAGAATGCAATGGATGAAGAAATTGCATCAATAGAAAGAAATGATGCATGGGAGCTAATAAGCCAACCAGAAGGTCACAACCCATTTGGAGTCAAATGAGTTTATAAGACTAAGATCAATAAAGAAAGAAAGGTAAAGAAACACAAATCAAATCTAGTTGCCAAAGGCTACAAACAAAGACAAGGAATAGACTATGACGAAGTATTTGCTCCAGTGGCAAAGATCGAGACCATCAGACTTCTCACAGCTGTTGCAGCATAAAACAAATGGAAGATTTATCAGATGGATGTGAAGTCATCATTTTTTAATGGCTACTTAGAAGAAGAAGTTTATATTGAACAACCACCTGGATACATTAAAAAAGGGCAGGAAGATAAAGTTTATCGATTGAAGAAAGCTCTATATGGATTAAAGCAAGCTCCAAGAGCGTTGAACACGAGAATAGATGAATACTTCCAGAGAAATGGATTCATGAAGAGTCCATACGAGCATGTCTTATACACGAAGAAAAATTAAGACGATGATATCATGATAGTGTGCTTATATGTGGATGACGGGAAATAATCCAGGTATGTTCAATGATTTCACGAAAGCTATGACTAAAGAATTTGAATGACATATATTGGTGAAATGTCATATTTTCTTGGAGTTGAAGTAAAGCAAATGCAAGATGGAATATTTATATGACAAAAGAAGTACGCAAAGGAAATTTTAAGAAAATTCAGAATGGAAGATTACAAGCCGGTAGTCACTCCTGCAGAACTAAGAATGAAATTAAGTGTGAATTCAACAAGAGAGTCAGTGAATCCGGCGTTCAAAAGCATCGTTGAAAGTCTAAGGTATCTGATTATCACACGACCAGACATAACATACGCTGTGAGATTGGTAAGCATATTCATGAAGAATCTGAAACAAGATTATTGTATTGCGGCCAAGAGAATTTTGAGATATGTCAAAGGTATGACAAATCATGGTTTATTCTACACGCATTCAGAAAATTTGAAGTTGTTTGGTTATTCTGATAGTGATTACGGGGGAGACTTAGATGATCAAAAAACTACTTCTGGGTATCTATTTCACATTGGTTCAGCAACATTTTCATGGTTTTCAAAGAACCAACAAACGGTAGCTCTTTCAACATGTGAAGCTGAATATATAGCCGTAGCAGCGTGCACTTACCAAGCAATGTGGTTAAAGAATATTTTTGAATGAGCTAAATTTTGTACAAGAAGAACCGACTACAATTTATGTTGACAACAAGTCTACGATATCACTTGCCAAGAATCCAATCTCCCATAGTCGAAGCAAGTATATCGATGCAAAGTATCATTTTATACGAGAGAAGGTAAAGAACAAAAATGTGGAGTTAATCTATTTCCAAACCGAAGATCGATTAGCAAACATTTTCACTAAACCATTGAAATCTGACGTATTCAACAGAATAAAAAAAAAGCTTGGTATGAAAAATCAAGTTTGAGGGGGAGTGTTAGAGTTCAAACTTAATTTTACAGTGTGGATATCGACAAGCCATGCATGTTTATGAATTACCCACTTGGTAATTGAA